CTTAAAAGACAGCTGGCATGGACTTTTTGCTGGCCGAACTACAGCTGTGGTGGCTGGAACTCAAGCAGCCACATTGGATTGTGAGGTAGAAGGCGGATATTTAAAATGGCAGAGCAACAAGATAGGAGGGGCATGGGTCCTTGTAATCACAGAGCTGCTGTACTAGCCCCAGACTGTCAACCTTCCTACTGCATATCTGTGAGCTAAGTCTCTGTTTCAAGTCACTGGAATTGTTATCACCCTCAAGCAAATCTAGTTCTCACCCAAACCTGCTGTGGTCAAATTTATGCTGAAACAATGAGAACCAATATCCAGGAAGCTGGAGAGAGGATAGCTTTCTCTCTCTCTCTCTCATCCTTCATTTATTTACTGTTTCCCAAAACGTGTCCTGAGCAGGACACCTTACCTGTGTTCAATAAAAAATAAACAAACGAATGAACAAACAAAAACACTCCCAGCTCGGGGAGCCTAGGTGGCTCAGGCCTCTGCCTTCGGCTCAGGTCATGATCCCAGGGTCCTGGGATGGAGCCCCGCATCGGTCTCTCTGCTCAGCGGGGAGTCTGCTTCCCCCTCTCTCTCTGCCTGCCTCTCTGCCAACTTGTGATCTCTGTCTGTCAAATAAATAAATTAAAAAAACAAAAAACCTTCCAGCTCAAGCGGGGAAAATCAATGCAAATATTAATAATATGGCCAACTGGGGACGCCTGGGTGGCTCAGTTGGTTGAGCAGCTGCCTTCGGCTCAGGTCGTGATCCCAGCGTCCTGGGATCGAGTCCCGCATCGGGCTCCTTGCTCGGCAGGGAGCCTGCTTCTCCCTCTGCCTCTGCCTGCCACTCTGTCTGCCTGTGCTTGCTCTCTCTCCCTCTCTCTCTCTGACAAATAAATAAAAAAAAATAATAATAATAATAATAATATGGCCAACTGGTGTGCATGTTTATTAGACAAAAAATCCATCCATCCACACAGATGTTATCCAAACTTCTGCCCAAGTTGTATAAACACATGTGTGCGTACACACACACCCACAACACACACACGATCTTCTCCCTCCACTGTTACTCCTCGACATTCGCGTGGCCAAACCCCAAGCACGGGTTCCCTTGGGGTCAATATCCTCCTGGTGGTGGGACCTGCATAACTACAGCCCAAGGTCTGGGCCAGGAATGACAGCACCTCTCCAACCCTCTCCTTCTCTCAGAAGTCAGGTCTGACACCCTAGGGCCTGGCCAAGACTCCCCCCAGGGACACTTTCCCAGGTCCTTAACCTGCAAGGCTTCAGGTGCCAGACAATGTATGGAGAATCCTGGGGACCTACACACGGTGGATAAAAAGAGAGTTACTAGCCCATTATACTGATAAGGAAACTGAGGCCCAGGGAGGCATAGACATCAGAATCACAGATAACAGGACTGAGGTTTGACTTCTCTCCTAACTCCTAGCTCTTTCTTTTTTTTTTTTTTTCTTTCCTTCTCTTTTTTCAAGATTTTATTTATTTATTTACTTACTTATGTGGGAGAGAGAGCGCTCACAGAGAGGGGCAGCAGGAGAGGGAGAGAAAGGGAGAGAACCCCAGGCAGGCTCTGTGCCCAGTGGAGCTGGATGCCGGACTTGATCTAATGACCCCGAGATCACAACCTGAGCCAAAACCAAGAGTCAGACACTCAACCGACTGAGTCATCCAGGCGCCCCTCTAGCTCTTTCTCTACCCACGCACAGACTGCGTGGTGGAGAGCAAAGATTCTTTGTTTCTTTTTCTCTTTATAACCATGTTTTGGGTTCTTTCTGCGTGCTAGGCACTGTGCCCGGTGCTTTACATAAACTCTTATTGGTTCCCAGCAGCCCTGTGAGGTGGGCTGGATTATTCCGACTATAAAGATGAGGGAAGGGGCGCCTGGGTGGGCTCAGTGGGTTAAAGCCTCTGCCTTCGGCTCAGGTCATGATCTCAGGGTCCTGGGATCAAGCCCCGCATAAGGCTCTCTGCTTAGCAGGGAGCCTGCTCCCCTTCCTCTCTCTCTGCCTGCCTCTCTGCCTACCTGTGATCTCTGCCTGTCAAATAAATAAATAAAATCTTTAAAAATAGGGACGCCTGGGTGGCTCAGTTGGTTGGACGACTGCCTTTGGCTCAGGTCATGATCCTGGAGTCCCAGGATCGAGTCCCCCATCGGGATCCCAGCTCCACGGGGAGTCTGCTTCTCTCTCTGACCTTCTCCTCACTCATGCTCTCTCTCACTGTCTCTCTCTCAAATTAAAAAAAAAAAAAAAAATCTTAAAAAAAATCTTTAAAAATAAATAAAATAAAGATGAGGGAAGTGGGGTCGAGGGAAATGAAAGACTGCCCAAGGTCACCAGCTTCTTGGTTGTGGGTCAGGATTCACAGTCTAGTGGTCTGAGCCCAAAGCATGGTGACCCCACTCTGATGTGATGCGTCCCAGGCAGGGGTGGGGGTTCACCTGGGATCTCTGGGAGGACTTCAGGGGACGCCCTGCAAACCCTTAAAAAGCATGGTGTTCACATGTGCCGCTGTGCATACATATGTGCAAATGTGCGTTTCCTTTTTTTAAGTGGTTTTTTTAAAAGATTTTTTTCAACTTATTTATTTGACAGAGGGAAAGCAAGCAAGAACAGGCAGGGGAAGCGGCAGAGGGGGAAGCAGGCTCCCGCCGAGCGGGAGGCCGATGCAGGACTCAACCCCAGGACCCTGAGATCGTGACCTGAGCCCAAGGCAGCCGCTTAACTGACTGAGCCACCCAGGCGCCCAATGATGTCCATTTTCTAAGGAAAAGGGCATGGCTCTCAGCTGCTCTTCAAAGGAACTCTTGACCCAGAAAAGGCCAGAACTGCTGATGCTGAGTAAAACCCTTGGCCTTCCAGATCAGATCTGCTGTGCCCTTGGGAGGGTCAGGACAGGTGGGTGAGTTTTAGCTGGAGATGTGTTGTGTGACTGTCTGTTTTAACATCAGCCCACCAACAGCCCGGGAAGTTCATGCCCACGGCCCTGCCAGGTACAGCTCCAGGCTTCCAGAACCCACTGCTCCAGGCCCCTTTGCCCTGGCCTGCCCTGCCCTTTCTCTACCAGCCTGAAACACAGCGTGTCCACCCGGGAGATGAAGCTCTGCCAGATTCTCTTGCCATGTGACCGTTGATCTCGGGCGATCGAGTATCCAGAGCAGCCCCAGACACTACCACCCACCCCACAAGCTGAGGTATATGGCCACCTCCGCTGGCTCCCATCGTGCTGACCCCAGGGGCCACCCAGGCCCTGGGAGCCCCCTCATGCCAAGAGGCCCAGTCAATGGCAACAGGACCCCGGAGGGGACACTTCCTCTCAGAGGCCTTCCTGGGCCTCAGTTGAAGAGGCCAGGAGTAAAAGAAAGAGAGGCTGCTGGGTGGCAGCGGCCGGGACCCGGCTTGCGCTAATCACAAGGAGGTGCCAGGGGGCACAGGTTCTGCAGGGAAGAGGAGGGCACACAGCCCATGGGGGAGCTGGCGGCCGCTGACTCCCGCACTCTCTCCCCCCAAGCCTCTCAGGCTCACACCCCCCAGGATCACCATGAGGATTTTTACTGCCCCTGAAGAAGCAGCTCCAAGCACCTGCCCTCCCTCAGACAAGGAGCTCTGTGGGGCGTCTGGGTGGCTCAGTTGGTTAAGCATCTGCCTTCGGCTCAGGTCATGGTCCCGGGGTCTTGGGATGGAGCCCCGCATCGGGCTCCCTGCTCAGCACGGAGCCGCCTTCTCCCTCTTCCTCTCCCCCTGCTTGTGCTCTCTCTCTGTGTCAAATTAAACTAAAAAATTTAAAAAAGACTGTGAGCCCCTAAACACAGCAGGAGCCAGTAATCGCTTCCTGATGCCAAGGGCAAGGCTTCCCAGGGACAAAAGGCAGAGGCCAAGGGCAGGGCCTGCGACTAGCAATGGCCTGCTGCCCAGACCATGCTGGCCGCCCTGACCCCCAGCCCTCACAGCACACCCAGCCCTGGCCAGGCCTCACCGGCATCTTCTCCCCCAACCCCCATCAGCTCACCCTTCAGCCTGGCCCAGGTAGGGGGGCACCCAAAGCCAACGCTCCTACCCTGAGGTTTACAGTCTACGTGAGGTCAGCCAGCACCCAGTGACCGATGCAGAAGTCCTAGCTGCAAGCCAAGCTCGCGTCTTCCTAGGGCCCCTCCCTCCGCACTGACGCTCCTTCCCTTGCTCTTCAGATCACTGGTCCTTCCCCAACCTCTGTGGTGACGGGGACGTTTCATAACACTTCATTGAAAGACTATCTCCTTAATGAAATCAGCATCCCCCGTTAGTACCCCGTCAGCCCCTGACCACTACCCTCACAGTTGTGACTGTCCTAAGGGCTGGCCCTCAGCAGATCAGCAACTCAAAACCAAGGAGGCTGGCTCAGTCAGTGAAGAGCCTCTTTTTTTTTTTAATTTTTTTTATTATTTATTTGACAGAGAGATCACAAGTAGGCAGAGAGGCAGAGAGAGGAGGAAGCAGGCTCCCCGCCGAGCAGAGAGCCTGATGCGGGGCTTGATCCCAGGACCCTGGGATCATGACCCGAGCTGAAGGCAGAGGCTTTAACCCATTGAGCCACCCAGGCGCCCCAAGAGCCCGACTCTTGATTTCGACTCAACTTATGACCTCAGGTTCATGAGATGGAGCCCTAGGTCCTGGCTCCAGCCTCGGCAGGGAGTCTTGCTTTTTGCCCTCTGCCCCTCCCCAACCCCCAATGCACACACATGCTCTCTCTCTCAAATAAATCTTAAAAAAAAAAAAGAAAGAAAGAAAAATCAGGGGCGCCTGGGTGGCTCAGTTGTTAAGCGTCTGCCTTCGGCTCAGGTCATGATCCCAGGGTCCTGGGATTGAGCCCCACATCGGGCTCCCTGCTCAGCAGGGAGCCTGCTTCCCCCTCTCTCACTGCCCCTGCCTGTGTTCCTTCTTTCCCTGTCTCTGTCAAATAAATAAATAAAATCTTAAAAAAAAAAAAAAAAAAAAAAAAAGGCAAGGACTAACTGTGAACCAGAAGTGTTTATTGCAGAAATTTGGTCACCATTCCCACTTGGTAGCCCCCGCTGAGGCTGGACTGGGCCCTCTGTCCAGGGCTGGGCAGGTGAAATGGAAAAGGGTGGAAGGAGTTTGGGCCCAGGGCCTCAGAGCTGTGACAGGATGCTGGGGGCCAGGCTGCAGGTGAGGCCCGTACCATCTGGCTCCACATTCAAGGACTTCACTGTGCCATCCTCTATGACCATGGAGAACCTGCCAGAGAGACTGGGTCAAGGGCGCTGGGCGGTGCCCTCGGGTTAAGTGTCCGGTTCTTGGTTTCCACTCAGATCGTGGTCTCAGGGTCATGAGATCAAGATCATGATCATGAGATCCAGGTCTGCACCCAGCGTGGGGTCTGCTTAAGACTCTCTCTCCCTCAGGGCACCTAGGTGGCTCAGTCGGGTAAGCGTCTGCCTTCCGCTCAGGTCATGATCCCAGGATCCTGGGACTGAGCCCCACTGCAGGAGGGGGATGGGAGGGGGTTTCCTGCTCAGCGGGGAGCCTGCCTGTCTCTCTGCCTCTGTCCCTCCCCCTGCTTGTGCTCTATCAAATAAATAAATGGAATCTTTTTTTTTTTTTTAAGATTTTATTTATTTATTTGACAGACAGAGATCACAAGTAGGCAGAGAGAGAGAGAGAGGAAGCAGGCTCCCCGCTGAGCAGAGAGCCTGATGCGGGGCTCGATCCCAGGACCCTGAGATCATGACCTGAGCCGAAGGCAGAGGCTCTAACCCACTGAGCCACCCAGGTGCCCCAAATAAATGGAATCTTAAAAAAAAAAAAAAATGACTCTCTCCCTCTCCCTCTGCACACTCACGCTCTCTCCAAAATAAATAGGAAAATCTTTAAAAAGAGAGCGCAAAACCAAGCCAATTACAACGGCCTGGGCCTGGAGACAAGGAATGGAGATTGAAGGGGTGGCAGGGGAACCCCACAGAGGACCCTCCCGCTTTTACCTCTTGAGCCGATGATTTCCAAAGAGAGAGACCAATGAATCATCTAATAGCAAATCTGTCTCCTAAAAGGAAAACCAGAGACAAGGCTTAGAAACTTCCAGAACAGACCAAGCCCCGCCCCCACCAGTTGTTCCCTTCCAAGTTCCTGCATCCAAGGCCTAGCAAAGGGACCACCCTAAAGGGTGGGGGTTGCAGGGGTGCACTCACCTTCCCAAAGGCCCCAGTGGGGTCAGCCAAGAGCCTAACCTAAGGAGAAAGTAAAGGTCAAAGAAAAATCCCAGCCTGGCCTGGACCCCCTGCAGGACCCATACCTCACCTTGCCTCTGGCATTGTGAGCTCGTCCCCACTCTTCAGTCACGAAGACATCATTAACACTCAGACAGGCTACCACCTGGACCCCCCTGGCCTTCAGAGCCTCAGCCTGCTCCACAAATCCTGGCAGGTGGGTCTAGGAGGGGAAACAGAGGGTTAACAAAGAGATTAAATGCCTCGGCTCTGCAACGCCTTCCCTTTATCTCCAGGCCCTCCTCACTTCCCTCTCCAATATCTTTGATCAATTAGAAATGTGTCAGCCAGTTCTTTTTGGCCTTGGCGGCGAGGAAGCTCGGATCCAAATTTGAGTGCTCTGTGGTCACCGTGAACTTCCCTTGGACGTGACTGTACTTTATTTACCCAAGTATCTCCCACAGCGCCAATCAGCAACAGTAGCAATAACAGATGTTGGATTTAATTACAATACCCTTTTTTCCTACATTCCTGGCCCCACGACCTTTTCACAGCCACCGCATTTTTCTGAAAGCTCTTGTATGCTTTGTTTTGTTTTTTAAGATTTTATTTCTTTAATTGACAGAGAGAGGGGGAGCACAAGCAGGGGAAGCAGCCGGCAGAGGGAGGGGAGAAGGAGGCTCCCCAACTGAGCAGGGAGCCCGATGCAGGACTCCATCCCAGGACCCTGGGATCCTGACCTGAGCCAAAGGCAGCCGCTTAATGGACTGAGCCACCCAGGCGTCCTGCTGATAGGCTTTGTAACGGTCACGACAGCTACAGCTCTCATTGCAAGCCACCCTAGGACTCAGGAACAATACAGACATGCACACAAGATTCCAACTGCTAAGTCCCAGAAGGGCAGGTCTCACCTTGGAACAGCCGGGGGTAAAGGCCCCAGGGACTCCAAACAGTACCCCCTTCTTGCCCTTGAACAGCTCTGCCAGGTTCACCTTGTTCCCAGGCTCCCCTTCAAAAACCACCACGGAAGGGATGGCATCTCCCACCTAGAGGGAATGACTTGGTAAGGAGTGACTTGGTTACTCTGGAACGAGCAAAGGGTCTAGATAAGGAGATAAGGAGTAGGGGAATGAGGGAGTGGGTAAGGAGAAGCCAAGGAAAAGGTGTTAAACCAGACCAGGCACTTGCTCCTAGTGCAGCAGAGTGGACAGAGTTGTAATGTCCCTCTCCTCGAACCACCTGGTTCCTCCACACCCTCAGGTTTCAAGGTGGCCCCGGTTCCTTTTACCAGTCTGTTGGTGACCACAGAAAATGGGAGAGGAGGCCTCTCTGGGTGTCACAAAAGGTTGCATAATCAAGGAGTCGATTTCTTAACAGAAAGAAGTGGGACAAATGGTCAGGGAAGGAGAGGCAAGGGATCTCTCTGGGGGTGAGGAGGAGACCCTGACAACAGGGAGGGAGAGAACCCTGGTCAGGTCTGGTGTCCAGCCCTCAGGAAGAGAAAAAGAGAGCAGAAGATGGAAAAGTTGGGGGGAAGGGCATTAAATAAAAGGCATCTCTCAAAGGGATTGGATTAGTCTAGCTGGGAGTGTGTAGGGTTTCATGGAGTCACAGGACATACACGAAGGGAGGGCAAATCAGGGATTGGGAATAAGATTAAGCAGGAAGAGGAGCAGGTCTCAGAAGGGTGTGGAAGGGGAAGGGAGGTGGTTCCCAGGATCCGGGGATCGTTCCAGATGAAGGGATGAAAGACTCAGCAGAAAAGTGGAAATTAGCCATGGGAGAAGTGGAACGGGGGAGACACAGTAGGGCTTTAGGAGAAAACACTTGCTTCAGACCATGGGGTGAAGAATGATGCCCAGGAATGTAACAAAAACGTACAGGACAGTATCGGGGGGAGGAGCTCGTATGGAGATTGAAAAGGGGTCTTGTGGTAAAGGAGATGGTTCCAGAAGGCGGAGGCCATGGTATTCAGTCGCCTAAAAATGGTGGAGACGCATCACGCATAGTGGCAGTACAAAGGGTGAAGGCTCGAGAGAGCCTTGGGGGTTGTCCAGGAGGTAAGGTACGAGTCCCGAAGATTGGCGAAAACTGGGGAGGGAGCAGCCACGAGGGTGCGGGGGCTGCCGAGGGGATGAGGGAGAACTGCGGGAGGAGCCCCTGGCAGGGTGGACAGGAGTCCGGGAGGGCAGGAAGGAGGATGATTCTCCCCAGACAAGCAGGACGGAGGGGACTGGGAAGACTGGCTGGATGGGAGCTCAGGCCGGTCCCGGCCAGCGGTCACCTTGATCGGGGCCATGGCTGAGGCGGCGCTTCTGAAACCGTAGGCCCCTCCAAGCGTCCACTCCCTGCCTGGTTGTCGGCACCTGCCTGCTCTCGACGCCGCCGCTGCTGCAGACTGGACGGCTGCTGCCGGGAAGAGCACCGACCCTGCCCGACGACTCAGGACACGCAGCTGAAGCAGCCGCACGCCCATCCTAGACCGCGCAGCCGTTCCGCCCTAGCGTCAGAGCTGCGGCAGGGGGCGGGCCTGGTGGGAGGAACCCAAAGCGAGTCTCCTCTCCGAGAGGCGGAGCCACTGCCGGGCCCGCCCCCAGCGAGGCTCCTCTACTGCGCAGGCGTGAGGGTGCGTGCAGGGACGGAACTTCTGGGGCGCTCGGCTTATTTGCATTTGGGGCTGGACCAAGGGCGCAGTTACGAATGGGCGGGGCATTCGGTAGCAGCACAACTTATTCACGTAAAAGGATGGGGTATCGCTGTTGTGAAGCGCCTAGTTTACGGATTCCTGCAATGTTTCTTTTCCTTAGCCGGAAGCTAGGGGCGGGAGACGATAGTGTCGGGCGTCTGTGGAGGAGAAAAACTTGTTTATTTTGCATACAGCTTAGGTCCCTGCATTGCGGCTGCTTTACGTATGATGTGTGTATGTCAGTGTGCATGACTTGTAGCTAAAGGAAACCACTGGGCCTGCGCCGTAGCAATCTCCCGCCGGGACGCTTCCGGTAGGAGCGCGTGATCCGACCAAGCTCCTCAAATACCTCTACTCCCGCTAGCACAAGAAGTTCCAGCATGTTCGCCAGTTCCGCTCCTCCGAGCCGTCCAATAGGACGAGAATGGAGCGGCCCCGGAAGTGACGCAGCGGACTTTCGGCCTCCTTCCGGTTCCGGCTTGCGGCGAGCGCGTTGCGGCGCCATGAAGCTGCTCACCCACAACCTGCTGAGCTCGCATGTGCGGGGGGTGGGGTCCCGTGGCTTCCCACTGCGCCTCCAGGTATCGGCCGGGGGCAGTCTCGTGCCCGTCTCCTGGGCGGAATGGGGGAACCAGGCTCCTGTCCCTAACAAAACCCCTCCTCCCCGCAGGCCACCGAGGTCCGCATCAACCCGGTGGAGTTCAACCCCGACTTCGTGGCGCGTATGATACCCAAGGTGGAGTGGGCGGCGCTTCTGGAGGCGGCGGATACCGTGAGGACCCTCCCCCACGCCCGTGCTCCCCCGGGGGCGGGTAGAACCTGGTCTCAGAGCAAGGGGCGGGGTGCCCAGAGCTGATTTAGGCCTTTGCCCACAGTTGCATCTGGTCGAGGTGCCCAAGGGGCCGATTGAAGGGTATGAGCATGATGAGAAATTCCTGAGGCAGATGCACCACGTGCTGCTGGAGGTGAGAACCAGCCCGTTGCTTGCTTCTCTGGCCATCACAGCCGCAGGCTGCCTGTGCTCAGCTCTGTTCCCCCCTCTCCCTCCCCGCCCCCCCCCCCCCCCCCCCCCACACCCCCGCAGGTGGATGTGCTGGAGGGCACTTTGCAGTGCCCAGAGTCTGGACGTCTGTTCCCCATCAGTCGCGGAATCCCTAACATGCTGCTGAGTGATGAGGAAACCGAGACTTAACCGCGCCAGGCACTAGTTTTTCAGTCTGTAACCACGAATGGTTTTATGTATAATATGTTTGTTAGGTCTGTCTTGTATCCCCAAACCTTGACCCAGTGACACACGAAACACAGTGTTCTTGAGCTCGATATATTTCTTTTTCTCATTAAAGGTTCAAAACCAAAAGCGGTTTCTCTTTGCAGCAAATATACATTAAAATAGAGTCTCTGTACAGCCAAAGGCTCTGGGCCCTGGCTTGCCCTATGTCCCTGCACCTCCCTGGCCAAACCCAAAAATAAATATAGTGTTATTGCTCTGCAGGGCATAGAGGCAGTGCTCTCCCTAACCCCCCAAGGAGGCTGGGTGGGAGCTGATGGGGGGCCCTGGCCACCCCAGGGGTCCAGGGGCTGGAGCCTGCTTGGAGTTATTGCTTCAAGGGGGGGCAGTAATGCCCAATGCAAATGATGAGGAGAGGAGCGAAGGGGGCAGGGGCCTTTGCTTTCCAAATCCCCCTCTGCTCTGGAGAGGGGGTTGGATTAAGCAGCAGCAAAAGCATCACCCACTGGGAGACTGTGGCCTCCACTCCCTTCCCTCCCTGAGATCAGGCTTCTGCCCCCCCACATGTCCCCTGCAGCCCCCTATGGCTTCCGCAAGGCCCCCTACACTCTGGGGGCACGTTATGGCTTGCAAGGGGCAGCACTGTGCCCAGAGCCTGGGCGCACACATTCCCAGCTTCTAAGACCCCCTGGGAGGGGGGAGGGGAGGGCGTAGGGCCCGCTCCCAGGGGCTGATGGTATTGCCCTGGCCCTGCCAGCAGGCTGTGGCACTGCCCGGACCCCAGTTCTGCCCCCTTGGGGCTGACCCCATACTGGGCGGGTCCTGCCAGCACCCCCACCCATGCCCACCCCTTGCCTCAGTCCATCATGGCCTCGAGCATCTCCAAGAACAGCTTGTGCATGGGCACCTTGCCCTCCAGCTTCACCCCATAGAAATGGGCCAGCACTTTGCCCGCTGTCTGGCGAAGGAGTGGTAGCGTGAGCAGCAGCCTGCCTGCCCGCCGCCGCTCAGCACCCCCTCCGGGGCCCGCCCGGCCTGCTTCATACTCCAGCAGGGCCTCGTGTAGAGCTTCGCGCAGCTGCTCCACAGCCTCGGCGTCCTCGATGTGCACAGAGTCTGCAAGGAGAGAGAATGCTGTGGACACAGATGGTCTCCAGAAAAGGCAGAGCCCCCAGATGCTTGAGCATTGCTGGATGTTGCCCAAGGAGGAGCCAGACACGGACTGGAGGGGCTGACGCAGGCACCACTCTCCACTCCTGCGCATGAGCCAGGGCCCCCCACTTTCTCCCTCGACCGTGGCCCCCTTTGCTCCTCCCCATCTTCCTTCCCACTAAATGGTTCACTTTTCCATGTAAGGATGGCCCTAGAGCTCAAAATCCTACTTTCGGTTCCCAGACCTGCCCTTGCCTTCTTTGGGACTTTGAACAAATCACTACTCTTCCGTGAGCCACAGTCTTCCTTGTCTGCCCAATGCGACTGGGCCACAGCCGGGGTGAGGACCTGGAGGGCCTCGAGGAGATGCCTGTCAGCGTCCGCCCAGGCTCACCTGAATTGGCAAGGGCCAGGGCCTTCAGCAGGACGTACTCCTCGCGCTCCAGCCTCAGGGCCTGCAGTCGCCGCACCAGCTGCAGCAGCGCAGCCCCCAGTTCCCCCAAGCCGGCGGCGCGTGCCCCCTCCTCATCCAGAACCAGGTCCTCTGCGAAGGCCAGCTCGTCCTGCAGGGGCAGTGAGCGCTGGGCCACGCCCAACACCAAGACCTCCATCCAGACGCTCTGCAGGACTGACATCTGGTCGGACAGTGACAATGACGAGAAGCCTGGAGGGCAGTGGGAAGCACACCTGGCTGAACGAGTTCACCAGAGCCGGGCCTGGCCTGCAGAGGGAAGCCCCAGATCACCTGGGCCCTTTACCTGGGATGCTCTTGGCCCAGCTGATGGTGACCACAATCTCTCGGTCAAAGAGGTCACAGAGGGTAGCCACGGCTGGGAGGTGTCCGTCGGGGCCCGCCGGGTCGGGCATAGCGTATAGCTTCTCAGGCTCAACCACCAGCAAGTGGGACACCAGTGCATTCACGGGGGCTGCCAGGACAGATGGAGGATGCCCTCGAAGTCATCACCTTGAAGGCCCCTTCGGGGTCAAGCACCTTCCCTAAATTAGCCATCACCCCTGCCCCAACCCCATGGCCTTCTTAACAGCCACTGGCCAGCCAGGCTTGGACACTTCTCTCCGGGAAGGGCTCCTAATATCTCCCCAGGAAAGCAAGTCCATGGACAGGTTCCTAGTGTGAGAAAAATCTTTCCCTGGTCCCAGGGGTACTACTCAGGGACTGGTTAAAAAAAAAAAAAAAAAAAAAAAGGTATTTTCAAAAATATGCTTTCAGGGAAATGTGTTGGGAACAGACGAAGGGCAAACCGGGTTCCCGATGCCCATGCTATCCACTCGGGATGACTGACACCGAATGGGCCTCTCGTGTTCCAGCGCCATCCCAACCCTAGAGCTCCCAGGACCCACAGCACTCACCGGTTTTCCGAGGGCCTCCGGCTACTGCCAGGGGTCCAGCAGGAAAGGAGCCCGGGAAGGGCAGCGGGTCCACCTCCGGCCGCCGCTTGTACTTCTGTCGCCCGCCTCGCACACGGTCCAGACGTACTCCTTGAATGGCAGGACAGGGCTGTGTCCCTGCGGCTGGGGGCAGCTTGCCCTGCGGAGTCCCCCCCCACCCCACCCAGTCCCCCATCGCTGCCCGCAGAAGGCCCCAGGCCTCGGCTACCCCCTCCCCGTGCTCTGTGAGCCCCTGCCCAGCGCTCACCCTCCTTGAGCATGCCCACCCGCAGGCACTTGGTGAAGCGACAGGCCTGGCAGGCCTTGCGTCTCCGCTTGGTGATCTCGCACTCGTTGGAGGCCGGACAGCTGTACTCGATGCTCCCTGCCAAGAAGAGACAGGGCTCCAGTGGCGGCCTCCCAGGGTCCGGAGGTGGCCCAGAGGACAGGAGGGCCCTCACTCGTCCCGGGCAAACGCAGGTCTGGGGTCTGGGGAGAGCAGGAGTGCCCTGAGCGGGGCAGGGAAGCCTAGGACTGTGACGGAATGGCCTCTGGGCTGGGGGCTCCTGACTGCGCCCAGGGAGTCAGGCTGATCCTGGCCCCAAGCCTCTTGTCACGCCACGGCTCTGGGCTCTGTTCTCATCAAGGCCACAGCAGCTTCCACAGCGCTGCGCCGGTCGTCCGTTTGTGCCCTCCTCTTACTTGGCCTAAAGGAGCATCTGATGCCATGATCATGTCCTGCTCCCACACACACTGGGACACCTGTCATCCTTTGCCTCTAGGACACCACCTCCTTCCAACTCACTGGCCACTCTTATTCCTGTGCATCCCCACCAACTCCTTCCATCGAAGGACCCACCCCAGGGCCGCCTGCAGACCTCGTCTCCTCCAGCTCACTTTCCCGGTGAGCTCACCGGTCGTGGGCCTTCCGGTTTCTCTCAGCAGAGCTGCGTGAACTCGACTCACTTGCCACTGCCTCAGCATCGTGCAGGTCTAGAAGGCGTGGCAAACTTCACCTGTCCGAAATGGAGCCCACGACCTACCACTCTGAACTCTACGACTCCGTCTCTCCAGTGGCTCAAGCAAAAATCCAGAAAACATCTTTGATTCTTCTCTTATACCCAAATCCAGCCCATCAGCGTGGCCTGGACTGCTTTACCTCTGCCCCATGTCCAGAGGCTGACTCACTGCGCCCCGAGTCACCATCACCCCGCCTTCTCACTGACCTCCTCCTCTGTCCTTTTCTCCTTTGTTAATGACAACACAGGGCCCAAGACAACCTGTCCAGCCCAAGTCAGTTCCCACCCCTCTCCTGCTCCAAATCCTCCAACGATGTCCCTTCTCAGAGTAAAAGCCCAGGTCTGTGAGGCCTCCAGTCCCCAGCTTTTCAACCTTTCTCCCCTCATCCCCTCACACTCTGTTCCTCACACAGACCCCAGGCTCAGGGCCCGCTGCTCCCTTACCTCCTTCTGAGCTCTGCTCCCCGTCACCTCAGGGAAACCCCCCTGGCCCCGCTGTGAGAATGTCAGGGCTCCTCTGCAGACTTCTCCTGCCGCCTACCCTGCCTGCCTGATAGTTTCTCACCAGCTCTCAGCACGCCTTGAGCCACTACACACGTACTTACTTCTCTTACCATCTGTCTTCCCCCTTTAGCATCTGCTCCACGAGGGCCAGGACGGCCGAGTGCTAGGAACAGGGCCTGGTACATAATGGCTGCTGAATGAACATGGGGTGGCCCTCCCAGCCTCACAGGGCTACCGCCAGAACCGAATGACACAACCAGCCAACATGCCCTTGATACACTCCTCCTATACCCTATGTATTCAGGACTGTGCACGCAGCTCAAGACACCTCCTCCAAGAAGACCTCCAGAGCCTCCAACCCAGCCAGGTTCCTTGGCACACATCCCTTTCCTCCCCCTCCAGCACTTAAAACAGCTGTACTACAACAGTTCTGTACAAGTCACTGTTTCCTCTCTCCCTCCACTAGAGTATAAATGGCTTAGTCCCAGCTACATCCACAGGCCTGGAACAGTGGTCAGGACAGCAAAGCACAGGTCTGTAAAGAACAAGGGGTCTGGAGGCTGCCTGGGGCCCATCCTGACACTATCTCTTAACCAACTGTGTGACCCTGTGCAAGTCCCATACCCAAGCCCCCCAACCCCTCAGTGTTCCCATCTATAAAACTGGGATAAAAACAGGACTTCTCGGCACCTGGGTGGCTCAGATGGTTAAGCGTTTGCCTTCAGCTCAGGTCATGATCCTGGGGTCCTGGGATCGAGACCCACATCAGGCTCCCGGCTCAGCGGGAAGTCAGCTTCTCCCTCTCCCTCTGCCTGCCAGTCCCCCTGTTCATGCTCTCTCTCTCTCTCTCTCTTTGTAGCTGTCTGTCTCAAATGAATAAATACAATCTATAAAATATAAATATAAACAAGCCTTCCTACAAAGATTCCTAGTAAGAATGAAAGGGAATGTCAGGGTAACATGTTCCACATGGTTCACAGCCCCCAGAAGCTCAATAAATGATTACAATCTGTGGCTAGGGCTCAATAAAGATTTGTCAACAAAGCTGACAGAGAAGGGGTCCAGGGTGGGTAGGAATGCCTGGGCCTGCTAGTTCCCTGGCCTTCGGAACCATTAGAGAGCACAAAGGGTTTTAGAGCAGTGGGTGTTGGCCAAATCAAAACCCACTGCAATGTCACAATCGGTCGGGAGCCATCTGTCCGAAGTTCAGTTATAAGTAATAAGCAGAGGCAGCGATCAACCCAAGTTCAAGTCCGGCTTCTGCCGCCTTCTGCCTGTGGGACTTGAACAAAGTTTTAAAAAACCTTCCTGGGCCTCAACTGCGGTCACAGCACTGGCCACCTTATGGGCGGCTGGGGGAATAAGAGATCACGGACACAGAGGGCATCATGCCTGACACGGGGTTAGCACTCAAGAAATGTTCTCCAAAAGTACACGTTATCGCCCCAAAGCAAGCAGTGTTTCCTATAAAAACACAAGTAACAGGCGCATCCCAAGTAATGCTGATTACATCTCCATCCCGCTCACTCAGGTTTTGATATGTGTTCCTGAGTGAGAATTCAGTGAGTAATAGTCTTTTTAAAAGTCAGGTGCTGAAGTATGAGGCAGCCCCTCTCAGTTACCCATGAGAACCTGCCTTCTGCTGGAGCGGCTTCAGGGAAATCCACCCAAGTGGGGGGTGGCACGGGGTTCCATGCTGCTAAGAGAGGTCAGCAGCTGCCAGAAGCAAGAACGAAGTTGAGAAGCAGACAGAGGCTGCTTCCAATTTTTCGGAGCCACTGTGGAAGGTGCTAGGTCTCTAGTACCCAGAAACCTAGGCTTCCCGAGCCCTCCCTCACATCCCACTCCCAAGCCATCAACACATCCTGGTGGCTTTATTTAACTTTTCAGGGAAATGGCACTCCCAGGTGGGAGAAGGAACTTGGGAACCCCAAGTGGTACCGCCGCCGCTGTCTACTGCCACCCGGCAGAGCACCCACCGGGTATCGGTAGGCCCAGAGGGCAAAGGGCACAGGAGCACGGTGGGGGCTCACCCTGGATGGTCCTCTTGAAGAAGGCTTTGCAGGCCTCACAGGACGCCACACCATAGTGGTAGCCGGAGGCCACATCCCCACAGACCAGGCAGAGGCGTTTGGGGAGGGAGCTGAGCACCAGCTTCCCACCACCCTGCTCGCCAGGCCCAGCCCCTTCCCCATCCTCCTCTTCCTTGTGGCCTGGGAGGCAGCGGGTGGGAGCTGGGCCAGGCGCCAGGGCCACGGGGGGCTCAGTCTCGGTCTCCGAGGAACCCTTTGGGCTGTCGGGGCTGGCTGGCTCTGCCTTGATGTAGAGAGGCTCAATGCCCACCACCTGGCTGGACATGACGCTGGTCACCTGCAGGGAGAGACCTGTCGGGTCACAGGGAGACACTGGGATGGGGGATGGAGTCCCAGTGCCACCCTGGTTGCCCAACCCTGGGCCTAGGGCCAGGCTTCTAGGCTCATCAAGGGGGAGGGAAGGAGAGCAGAGTCCAAAGAAGGGCTGCCCATGAAGAAGCCTCCCCACAGCTGTTGCCATGGGAACAGAGTCTCCAAAGCCTCCAGGGCCAGTAACTGACAGCAAGGTCTTCCACTGGGGAACCTGGGGGAGGCCTGGAAACTCCCTACTCCCACCGGGGCCAGGGAAGAGCATAGCCTTAGTCTCCAAGTGACCTTCAACCCCATCTGGAATGCCCAGCCCCTAGAGAGATACCTCTCAATTTTCTTCAGATGTTGGGGACCTCGATGATTGCCCCCTCACTTGGGCATCCTCCATTCAAAAGCCCAAAGCAGGCACACAAGGGCCGGTGGTGGCTTCACACACTCCCCCTCACCTGGGTCCTCAGGTGTCCGCACCGGCTCACACACGCTCACTCTCTACTGGGCGCTCACACAGGGCCTTCCCCAAGCCCAGGCTCTCCCTCATGCTCCTGTTCGTCTTCACACACTCCTGCCCAAGTGCACAGCCCATAAACAAAGTCACACTCGAGACTCACAATCACACATACTCACTCCCAAACACACCGTGCCCCCACACTGACACACAGACACAGACCGTTGTGGAAACACTCAGAGCCTTTCACACCTGACACAGCCTCCTGCCCCAGCATGCCAATCCCAGGCCCACCGGAGGACGCGGCTCCACCTCCTTACACCCCACCCCACCCGACCCCCGACCCCCGCCAGCACATTCACTCTTACACTCCAGCCGCCCGCAGAATCCTCCACCTCGGGGGCGCCCCGCCCCGCCCCCCCAACCTGCGCACACCTACGGAAAGTTGCCTAAAGTTGCTGCGCCTCCCCTCCCCCTCCGCCCGCGGGGGACCTCTATCAGGTTATCAGGAAGTAAATGGGGAGCGCCAAGGAGGAGGAAGTTCTCCCCTGCCGGTGCGATGACCTTTGACCCAGAGAGGAGGGTGGCCCAAGGCCCCTTCGAGCGCCCCCACGTGGTCTTCAGAGCCCCTTCTCAGACAGTGAGCCCTCCCTATCTTCCACCCAGGCCCGCCCCTGGGACTTCGACTTGCTCCAGGTGCCGGATTGAACCCTGCCCTGGGACTGGATCCGAGGCCCGAGCCTGACCCCGGCCGGGACCCGAAGCCCGAGCCAGAACCGGCCCCTGTCCCAGGCCGACGCATTGAAACCTCAACACGGGATCCCGCCCAGACCCTAGCCCCGTCTGGCCCTGGACCCGGTCCCAACCGTGACCCGGGCTGGACCTGGAGCAGGACCCCGCCCGGAGCCCGCCCCACCCCCGCCCGCCTCCCAACCGCGCTCGCACATGGCCCCCGCGCCCCGCCCGTCCACCCCCCCCACCCCAGCGGCGCTCCCCTCCGCCCCCGGACCTGGGGCTCCGGCAGGGCTGGCGGGCAGGCATGGGGGCCGAGCGGCCCGGAGCGCCGGGGTGAGCCTGGGGACGCAAACGGCCCCTCCTCCGCCGCCTCCTCGGGCCGCACCGCCCCGCCGCGCCGCGTCCCCTCACTCGGCGGCGCCGCCGGCGGCTTGTAGGACACAAAAGGACATCGCGGCCGCTTCCTACTCTGCTTCCTCCAGCTGACAGCGGGGGTGGGGCCGGCCGTGCGCATGCAAAGCAGGGGGCGGGTCTCGGCGCCCTATGCTAATCAGACAAGCGGGGCGGGCAGCGCCTGCGTGCCCGGACCAGTCGGGGCGGAGCCAGCGAAGCCAGGGGGCGGTCCTTCATGAAGGTCCCGCCCATCGCCGCCGAGTAGAAGCGGTGCACTAGCTGAGGGGGCGGGGCCAGAGGAGACTTGGGAGAGGCTCCGAGAGGGAGTTGGAACCAGGAGCGCTCTTACGTAACGAAGGAGGCGGGGAGCGCTGTGCGCGATCCAAGTGAGCGAGGTGGCTCGGTGGCCGCAGTTGCGGGACGGGGAGACGACTTACATATGTAAATGAGAGGGCGGGACGAGCGGAGAGGTTAGTGTAACTGCATATGCATGAGGGGCGGGGCCCAGCATGCCCAAACTGGAGGGGAGGCTCTGCCCCTTTACCTTCTCACCCTTCCCCCAAGATTACACCACAGGGGCACTTGGACCGCAGATCCAGTATCCCCACACAGCTGCTGGACCCAGGGTGGGAGAAGCAGGCATAAAACATGCGAGAAGTCCTGGATTTCGAGTCCCGGGAAGGCGGAGCCAATAGAGCCCGGACGGAGAACGCTCAAGGTCACTGCGGTGACCGCGTGAAGGTCACGGGGAAAGGCGGAGCCATGTGCGTCCGCCTCACGCGGGCAGCCACGCACTGACTCACCGACCGTGCACAGAGTCTTTTATTTCTCTAGGACTCAAATTCCATGTGGACAGGGTCGGGCTTGGGTCTGGGGACCGGCCGGGGGCCCAGGGACTGGAGCCGGCTTCTCTGTCACTCCAGCCGGAGCCCGAGGCGGTGCTCTCAGTGCATCAAGAGGCGCAGCCTCTTGTTCCGGCGCCTCCTGAGTCCCTCGATGTATCGCTGCAGCTGCTTGGTCAGGAAGTGGTCCCGGCCAATACCTGACCGGTAGCCTGCAGAGCAGAGGGGCCGCTCAGGGCAGTGAGCAGGGGCATGGCGTCCCCAGCAGCAGTGCTGCACCTGAGATTTGAGGAACCATGGGTGATCTGGGGTAGCAGGAGTGCTTGGCCCTCCGGTCTGTTTTAGTCTGGGAAACTGGATCTCCAAGGTGCTGGGCCCTGACAGGTTTTTGTTTTTTTGTTTTTTTGTTTTTTTGTTTTTTAAGGTCAAGTCATACACTTGTACTCCAGGTGGGGGATGTGGAGGAGGCTGAGTGTTGAGGTGGAGCATGAGTGAGGGCGAGGTTAGTGTTGCACGCCTGAACCAGGACAGTGGTAGAGGGCAGCTTCGTGGACACCCCCTGAACCACTCATCCTGACCCATTAGCCAGCATCCCTGTCTTATATTATAAGCAGGGCAAATGAGAGAACTTGGACCCAAATAATCCACTGTCCAGAGGTTCCTCACAGCACCAAGGGAGGGGACCAAGGCCACACAAAGACTGTCATCCCCACTGGGGAACAGAGAAACCACTCGAGAAAATCCACATCAGCTAGAGAGAGGTTGCATGAAGGCCGGAGCCCAGGCCCCTTACCGTCACGTCATGCTCTCCCCACTGGATGTCCCTGTGCCCAGTCCAATTTTTTACTTTTGGTAGGGCTCCTGGAATACTTGTGGGTGGTAAGGGAATCTGACAAGGCAAACACGGCCTGAATCCCCATTCCCAGAGGCCCGAGCCCTGCAAAACCCCCCAGGGTCTGGGGACGGGGGTAGTAGCTCACTCCTGAGGGCTTTGGTGAGGATTTCCAGAGCTTCATTCTCCATGAGGTCCATCAGAGGCAGTGGCAGCTGGAGAGGCAGCAAGAGGCTCAGATGTTCCAGGGACCCCAGCCCTGCCCCAGGCTGAAATACCCCACCTGCTCCCTCTAGCCCCAAGACCCCCAACCACGCTGCCTGCCCCTCTCCTCTGCAAACCACCCTTACCCCTTCACTTCTGCAACTCCCAACTTGCCCATCCCCACCCCACTAAAATGCCCAGTCTCCCTGGGTGCTTCTAACCCTGTTCTGTTGCTCCATCCAGTAGGCTCGATGGGGTGTGTGCTTTGAGATATTGAGCGATGACTCTGAGGAAGACATTTCTGGGAGAAGAGAAAAAGAGAGGTCAGTCATCTGCAGACTGCTGGGTCTTCCCTGGAGCAGAGGAAACATAGGGGCAGGCTTGTGGTGGCAGGGGAGTGGCCTTCAGAGACCAGCTTCAGGTGCCACCTTATTGGGAAACAGTATGGGACAGTAGTTTACTACCCTGGGCTTTATCGTCCCACCCACCCAGGTTCCAGTTCTGACTTCCCCATCAGGCAAGGCTTAGGAGCAGTGACTGAAAATTTCTGACCCTCAGGCTCTTCATGGTCAAATGGGGTAATAAGAATAACCCCTGGGGGGCGCCTGGGGGGCTCAGTGGGTTAGAGCCTCTGCCTTCCGCTCAGGTCATGATCCCAGGGTCCTGGGATCGAGCCCCACATCGGGCTCTCTGCTCAGCGGGGAGCCTGCTTCGCCTCTCTCTCTCTGCCTGCCTCTCTGCCTACTTGTGATCTCTGTCTGTCAAATAAATAAATAAAATCTTTAAAAAAAAAAAAAAAAGAATAACCCCTGGGTTAAAGCCTCTGCCTTCAGCTCAGGTTATGATCCCTGGGTCCTGGGATCGAGCCCTGCATCAAGCTCTCTGCTCGGCAGGGAGCCTGCTTCCCCCTCTCCTTCTGCCTGCCCTCTGCCTACTTGTGATCTCTGTCTGTCAAATAAATAAATAAAATCTTTAAAAAAAAAAAAAAACGGTATGCGGTGACTGGGTGGCTCAGTGCTTAATTGTCTGCCTTCGGCTAGATCATGATCCCAGGGTCCTGGGATCAAGCCCCATCCCTGATCAACAGGAAGCCTGCTTCTCCCTCTCCCAAACCCCCTGCTTGTGTTCCTTCTCTCGCTGTCTCTCTCTCTCTCTCTCTGTGTCAAATAAATAAATAAAATCTTAAAAAAAAAAAAAAGAAAGAAAAGAAAAGAAAAAGAATAGACCCTTATGAAAGTTGTGAAGTTTAAGGTGGTCATGCAAAGAAAGCCCAGTGCCTGGCACACAGCAAGCACTCAAAATGCATTAAAATACTGTTATACGTTCTAATGCCCCATGTAGGTAGGGGCCGGGGCAAGGGGGAGGGGAATCCCAGACAGTACCCAGCAAGAAGTAGGTACTTAAAAATTGTAGCCAATGACTGAGTGAATGAAATACAGGCACCTCCTCAACGACAGCAAATCCATACACAAGGAAATAACTCCCTCCTCTCAACCGTCCCAGTGATTCCATGAGAAGCACGGGTCCTACCGCGCTGCCTTTGCGCATTTCCGCAGGTGTCTCCCGGACTTGGCGTGCCATGGCCACAGGACCCTGTACGACGCCTGTCCGGTAGGGGGCGCTCCAAGAGTGTCTGGTTGATTTAAAGCGTAAAAGACGAACGCTGGCGCCGGTCCCGGGAAGGGAATTCTGGAAAAGGATCCTCCAGCTTCCCCCTCCACCCCCTATTTCACAGCAACAGATATTGAGGTCCTGGCCAGCCCCCTGCCCTGTGGATACCCACAGCCCTGTGAGGCCACACTGACCGGTGTCGGTCTTGGACTCCTTGGAATCACCGTCCTGCTCCTCTAAACGGCTTCCCAGGGAGCGGGCCCGACTTAGCTCCAGCTCCAGCAAGGAGGGCTTGTCCAGATCCTCCTGTTTGAAACTGTCCTTGTCCTCTCTGATATCCCATTCTTCCCAAATACCGTCCGAGTCGCCTCTGGCCTTCTGGTTGTACCATGGGCGAGACTTGCTGCCGACGCTGCTGCCCTCCATGTCCGAGTCCTCTCCAACACTGGACCAGGGCCCATTCAGCTTCGGCTGCGACAGCGTGGCCCTGGTCCACAGATTCCGGATGTCCTCTGGGCTCGACATGTCTGAGGCACGGCTGCCCAAAGATGCCTGTGGGCCACATACAACGAGGGAAGCCAAGGGCCTCCAGGAGTTGGGAAGGAGAGGAAGAGCCGGCTGGGACCGTGACTCTGTCGAGTGGGCTCACAGCCGAGGCTGGGGGAGAGAAGAGCCAGGGACCCAGGACGGACCCAGACTGGGGGCTCACAGGGGGAGGAGGCCAGGGAAGGGTTCTTACTCTGAAAGGTTTTTCGTCCATGGTTCTGCCCCAACGGACCCGGTCGCCACAGGCCTCGGGCCAGGAGCAAGGGGTCACGCTCCAGGAGCGGGGAGGGGCCGGATCGCGTTCCCGAATGGTGCTGCGGGTCTCGCGAGGGAGAGTTCAATCTGCAGCCCCCCTCCCCACGCTAGATGCCATTCTCTCTCCCGTCCCCACCGCCCCGTATCTGCGCTGAGGTTGGAGACGCACTGAACACCATGGCACATTCCTATTCCGGACCCTATACCCGGTAGCCTCCTGGCGGAGACACGGGCCCAAGAGTGGCCCTTTCGGGTGCAGGCGTGGGGAGGAGGGGCTTGGCCCCGGGGGGTGGGTAGAGGGTTGTCACAGGAGGCCTGGCTTGCCCGGGAGGTGGCCCGACGCAAGCACTCCCACACCCACTCGCGTCCCCGGAGCGCGAACGCCCGCAGCGGTGCAAACTGTTTTCATTTATTGATGCAGGCTTTTGAGGCACAGTCGTGAGGTGTGGTGAGGGACGGGCCCAGCCGAGACAGCGAGACAGAAAGCCTTAGGGGGTCTGCAAATTGGATGAAGTGAGGAGAGGGCCAGGAGCGGGGTGTGGCAGCCCGTAGCCTCCTCCGCAGGCCTCGGTCCGGTCGAGAGAGGCCTCTTTGGTCAAACAAGCAGAGCATGCCGGGGAGAGCGCAAGAACGAAGTCCTTGGAGAGGCCCGGGCCGGGGGTCCTGCCCCTACGCGGGCACGCCTCTTTCCCGCGGGCGCCCTGGGCCCCGCGGCCGCGCGGGCTTCCGGGGAGGGTTAGGGGGGCGGCGGCGACCCCGTGGCGCGCGGGGCAGCGCGCAGCCGCGCTCGCTCTGGGTGTCGGAGGACTCGTCGATGAAGGCCAGGTTCTCGCTGGGGTAATCCAGCGCGGAGGCCGTGGGCGGGGTGGACGGGGAGGACGGGGAGGGCGGCTCGGCCTTCACCGGGAGCGGGGACGGGGGCCTGCCGGCGGGCTGCGCCGGACACGGCGGCGGAGGCAGGAAGGGCCGCTCCTTTTCCAGCGGCGGTGGTGCCGTGGGCCCGACTCGCTGGGTCACCCGCGCCGTCACCGTGCCGGTCCAGCTGGCGGCCTGCGCCGTGAGGCCGCCCATCTGCGCGAAAAGTAAAGGCAGTCCTCGACCGCGGGTCCTCGACCACATCTGCGACCCCGGGAACCTACCCCATCAGGCGCGGCCACCCTTTTCCCCCGGTCCTCCTATCTCAGCGCGCCAGAGAGGCGGGAGTGGGGCGGGGGAGGCTCATCACCCAGCGACACACTCTCCTCTCCTCCGTCCGAACCTAGGAGACCTTTCCTCCTGGAGCTTTTCTAGAAAGCCCCGGGTTGATTTCAGCTATCCTTCCCGTGCCCCCTAGAGACCTTTGCGCTTCTCTCGAGCTCCTTGGCCGGCGCGGCCAGTAGGGTGACACAACACTCAGGTTGTCTAGTTAAATGTGAATTTCAGATAAACGACGAATAAAATCTTAATATATGCATGTCCCTCCCATGCAACATTAGGGATATACTTACACTAAAATGTTACTTGCTATTTATCTGAAAGTTACATTCAACTGGGCTTCCTGCTTTTTCTGTTTTTGTTTTTGGTTTTTGGTTTTTGGTTTTTTCTCCCTAAATTTCTCAGCCTCATTCATGACAGCGGAGACAGAGTCCTCAGCAAACCGATCCAAGTTTAACCCTTTGCCCCCTGGCCGTGTGCACATGGCGGGGGCGGGGGGAGGCACTCAGTCCCTGCCATGAGAAGCCCACACTCTGGAAGAAAGGCTGACTGATCAACCCGCTGCTAGGGTACAGCGCATCAGCGGCACAGCGCAAGCGCCGACCCAGAGGTGCCTACCTCTGCCCGAGTACGTCGGGACACTACTCGCAGCCAGTTCCCGATGGTGGTGAGTACCGAGGCGAAGTAGGCCAGGCCGAGCAGGATCCAGAACCACACCAGCGGCTGGTAGGCTGCATTGCTCTGGTTGGGGCTGGCGCCTGGGATACCACCGGGGAGGCCAGAAAGATGTTGATTTGTGGGGCAGGCTTTAAGCCTGTGAGCTCCTGGTTCACCTCCCTTCTTCCCAGTTCAGTGAGAGCATCCGCCCCCCCCGGGGCAATCAATCGGTGTGTGTGAACGCATGCAAGACGAGTGTGCACTACTTGAAAGTGTGCCAGATAAAAATACGCGAGTGTGTTCGCGCGCAAAATTGTGGGCATATGGGAGGGGCGCACATATATAAGAATGTGACGCATAGGAGGGGCGCACTTAATGTATGTGTGAGCATGCATCGGGGTGCAGGCATGCCAGAATGTAAGGGCACATGAGCCGTTGCATCCGTGCAAAAACGTGAAGGTGCATTCCGCGAGGGCACGTGGGGATTGGAGCAAGTGCCTGTGAGCGCCCACGCACCACAGGGAATTTGGAGGGAGACGCAAGAGTGCAGGGTCCCTGGGCATGAATAAAGTGGATAGGGAAGTGCAGTGCAAGAAAGGTGGCCTCACCGGCCACATAGTCCCCGAAGCCCACCGTGGTGAGCGTCACCACGACGAAGTAGATGGCCTCCAGCTTGCTCCAGCCCTCCACGTAGCAGAACACGAACGTGGGCGTGAGGACAAAGAGCAGGCAGCCGATCAGCAGGAAGAGCACCGCCGATAGGATTCGCACCAACCCCGGTGGCACGTGCCACTTCTGCAGGGAGGGGCAACGGGCAGGAGGGACCCAAGGCGTCGCCAAAACCTCCAGTCACACACCCCCACACCGCCTCGTCGGGGCTCCTGTGCGCGAGGCTCCCGCGTCCTCGAGGACCGCGCGCTCACGGGCGGGGCGGGGACGTAGGCAAGAGTAACCCGAGCTCAGCGCGAGGGCGCGCAGGGCAAGGAACAGCTCACCAGGAAGATGGCTTCGATGTGACCGATGCCACGGCGCAGAGAGGAGCCCAGCCGGTCCCCGACCCCTGCCAGCAGGATCCCGAATAGTGGGATCCCCACCAGCGCATAAAAGATGCAGAAGAGGCGTCCCGCATCCGTGCGCAAGGCCGCGTTGCCGTAACCTGAGCAAAGGGGCCGTGCAGGAAGTCTAGCGGCTGCCTGGCCTCCACTTCCTCCCTCTGCACCTTCCCCCAGGAGAAAGCCCGGCGGCCCCTTGCCCCCCTCCACGTGCCCAGTCCCCTCCCCCACCGATGGTGGTGATGATGGTGCCCGAGAAAAAGAAGGCGCTGCCCAGGTCCCAGGCTGAGTGGTTGCTGTTACTGGAGGAGTTGATGTCAGGGTCCGCACCCCCTCCCAGGGCATCAGCCACATCCTGCAGGACAAGGTGCAGAAGGAGGAACCTCAGCCCTTCCCTACCGTCCTGGCCAAGCCCCCTGACCCTCCAGTCTCCAGAGTGGTGTCCTCCTCCCTCCCCCTCCCAGCTCTCCCCTTCCCTCCCGTCTTCCTGAGGGTAGTCCCTTGGAGCAGATATTGCAAATTGGGGGGGCCCAATTGTGTTTCACCTCCACATTGTTTTAGAAACATTTTAGTTGGGATGCCAGGGTGGCACAGGCAGTTAAGCCAGTGGGTGGGACTCTTGATTTCAGCTCAGATCTTGATCTCAGGGTCAGGATCTCAGGGTCCTGAGACTGAGCCCCCTCTTCCCCTTCCCCTTGAGCTCATGCTCAGCAGGGAGTCTGCTTGGGATTCTCTCCCTCCCTCTCCCTCTGCCCCTTCCCCCTACCCCCTCCTCTTGCAAGAGTGTGTGTGTGCTAGAGGGCTCTTTCTCTAAATAAATAACTAAATCTTAAAAAAAAAAAAAAAAAAAAAAAAAAAAGACTTTCATTATCTGCCCCTTAATTTCACACAAAAGATTTCTAGTTTACAGAGATCAGGAGCAGACCTGGACCAGACTGCCTGGGTTCAAATCTCAGTGCTCTGTGACCCCAGGGGCAAGTTAACTCTCTGTGCCTCAGTTTCTGCCTCTGTCAGGAGCGGACAATGCTGCTAGCACCTACCTCAGGCAGTTGTGAAGAATTAAAATAACCCTTGTGCATTTAAGTTAGTCCCATGCCCAGTGATTTCCAACTTTCCACAGATCCCACCACTCCCATCACCCCTAAGAAAGCAGTTTTAGTTCCTTGCCTTAGAAAAATCTGATGGAAGTTAGGGAAACTTTCTCCAGGAAGGTTCATATACCATCAAATTCTGTACCCAAGACCAGAAGGCTCATGGACACACAAACCCCCACCCAACCCAAACCCTGTGCTTACATAGTAGGTGCCCAATAAATAGGAGTAAATTAATGATGTCTGCCCCTCTTGCCACCTTGCAGGTCCCTTCAAGACAGAGTCTGTGTTGTCAGAGTGTCTGCCTTAAGTGACACAGATTTGAGAGCACAATGGGGGGGGTGGGGGGCAGAGGGGGCCATTCCCCAAGGGGCACAGAGCCAAGGCACAAAGACAGTGGGGAAGATCAAAAACCACATTCTTCCTCTCTGACTGCAGTCCTCATTAGCAAGACCCATTCCAAATTAATCTTCCTAAAGTGACAGTCCCAAATCCTCCATAGCTCCCCACGGTCTGCCCCAGAATAGTGTCCAAATTCCCACCCCAGCATCTCAGCCCCTTTTCATCTAGTCCCCACCTCCCTTTCCCCAGCCTTCTTTCCTGGGGCCCCCGATCTGAAACCCAAGTTGCAGTGTGATCTTACCCCCAGATTTTCTTAGACGATCCCACCTCCTGTAATAGTAATTCTTTTTTTTTTTTAAAGATTTTTATTTATTTATTTGACAGAGAGATCACAAGCAGGCAGAGAGGCAGGCAGAGAGAGAGGAGGAAGCAGGCTCCCTGCTGAGCAGAGAGCCCGATGTGGGATCATGACCTGAGCCGAAGGCAGCGGCTTAACCCACTGAGCCACCCAGGCGCCCTGTAATAGTAATTCTTAAATGAAGCCAAGAAGTGAAATGTATGATTAAGGTGATTTAAATTTTATTTTGCAAGACTTTTCCAATAAATTCTCTACTTGGGGGGGAAAAAATCTCTTGTCATCCTGTGTGTTCTAATTTTTGCTTCGAATGACTAGGCATCTGCTAAATCCGAGTTCTGCAAAACACTCTGTGCCTTTCCAGCTTCCACGCCTTTGCCCAGGCTGTTTCTCTGCCTGCAGGTCTCTTGCAAACCAATCACACATCTCTAAATTCTACCCTTCTGTCTCACCTGCCTCATTTCAATTACCAGCTCCTCCCAAAGCCCCCCACCCCCACCCCATCTCCCTCCTTGCCTCCAGCACCTAGCTCAGAGCCCAGCATACAACAGGTGTTTAACAAAGAAGGAAGCAAGGAAAGCTCCCTTTCCACTGAATCCTACAGTGATCTGTCCGTGGAACTGTCCCCCTATCCCAAAGTGACATCCTCTAGGGTAGAGCCTGCCTCTGTTCCACCCCATAGCAATTTCCCTGCTCACCCTACGGTGTAGTAGCACAGCACCTAGCACACGGTAGGTGCATAATTGCTGCAGGACTGCCTAGCTATGGGAGAGAAAGCAGCTGTCGCCCACACTTCTAATTTCTGCCCTTCCTTTCCTTCTTTTTTTATCCAGGAAAAAAGCCTTTACATCGTGAAGATAAAATAGGTCAGATTCCCTCCCTCCCCCACTCTGCCCTGTGGTCTGGCCAGACACATCCTCCTGCCCAGGCCTCTCTGTGCCTCACTGGGCATTCTGGAAGTGTCAGAGTCAATGTCAAGCAGCCTAAGTCCCAGCCCCACCCCACCCTCATCTCTGCTCCTGCTCCTGCCCCCACCTTGGGAATCAGCTGGAACACCGGGGCCTCCAGGCCCATGGTTCCTCCCTCCAAAAGAAGAGGCAGGGGAGAAGGGGTACTCTTCAATTACTCTTCAAAGTAATAAACATCTACTTATTAAAGTTAATCCTTGGGTTGTTTATATGAAAGTGACTCAGAGGGGCGCCTGGGTGGCTCAGTGGGTTAAGCCTCTGCCTTCAGTTCAGGTCATGATCCCAGGGTCCTGGGATCGAGCCCCACGTTGGGATCTCTGCTCCGCAGGGAGCCTGCCTCCACCTCTCTCTCTGCCTGCCTCTCTGTCTACTTGTGATCTCTGTCTGTCAAATAAATAAATAAAATCTTTAAAAAAAAAAAAAAAAGGAAGTGACTCAGAAATCACAGAAGCAACAAAGGTGCTTACATGCTAGCACCCCAGGAGGCTGAAGCCCAGAACTTTCTTTAGTCACTGATCCAAACCTGAACCCACCCCTTCCTCTAGCCCCTCATAAACATGTGTCCTGGGGGAAAAGGGGTGCCTAACCTGGTATCCATGGTGGCAGGCTTAGGGCATCCTGGAACCCTCTGAAATGTGTCCTTCTGACACCCTCTGAATCTAAGTGCATTTTTCCAGGGGGTAGGGGAGTGTCCATTGTGTTCTTGGGCATCTCCAAGGCATCTGGGACTCCAAAGAAGTACAGAAACCAGTGTAAGGTTGCCAGATTCAGTAAATAAAAATACTGCATGGGACATATGTATTTTTTAAAAGTATTCGTTGCTTACTGGCTAAAATTCACAATTACCCAGGCACCTTGGGTTACAACATCTGGCAACCAGGAACCAGTGCATTAGGCCTGTGACAAGGTAACATATTTTGTGTGTACCAGCCACGTATTCATTTCTTCCTTCGCTGGTTCCTTTGCTCAACCACCATCACACGGAAGGAGCCCGTCCAGGAGCTCAGTGCAAGGCCAGGAAACGCAAGGCGGCCAAATGTCCCCATGGACACCATATTGAAAACACAGAGACCTGGATGTCAGCCTCCATCCTGGACCCCTCGGCTGCACCCTTCCCTCACTGGGTGTCCATCTGGAGGCGGCAAGCCAGTGCAGGACCCCACTGGCAGTCAGCTCCTTTTGGGGGGTCATGGATGACTCCTGAAGGGGGTTCCTGCCCACCCACGAACCTTGATGAAGATCCCCAGGTCCTGGTCGCTCACACACGGATGGGCCCTCAGGAACTTCTCTCGGACCTCCCCCAGCTCCCTCTGGGCCTGCTGCTCGTGGGGCTGCTCCAGGGCCTGGAACACCAGGGCACCGGACACCAGGTAGAGCAGGACCAGCGCCAGCAGTGCCAGAAGCGTGGTGCTGCGCATGGCGCGCCCAGGGGCCCGTCCAATTCCGCTGCCCGCCTGGGGAGGCCGGGCAGGGGGCTCCTGGGGAGCTGCGGTCACTGTGGGTAGAACCAGGGATGCTGGGGTCAATCCCTCAGCCTGCCACCCCTCCGCCCTCCTCCTCCTCCAGCCCCCACACACCCAGAGGTCCTTGGAGCCCCCAGCCCTACTGCCCATAGATGTCTTCTCTTCACATCCCTCTGCCAGGACACTTGGTACCAGGGCACACTCAGTCCCCCCCTTCTTCTGTCCCCCCCCCCCTTACCTCCATTGCCCGGCCCTCAGCCCCTGTCCGGGAACTCCGGGACATGAGAAGAGAAGAGGGTGCCAGGAAGGGAAAGGAAGGAGAGTGGAAGGGGGAGCCTGCTGAGGGACCCCCGGGCGAGCAAAAAAATGCCAGGGGGTCTGGAGGGGGCGTGAGGAACCGGCTCCGGAGCGGGAGGCTGAGGGGGCGCGGAGGCGCGCGCAGGGGGAGCGGGCGGAGAGGCCGGACCGCGCAGGGCGGGGACGGGGATGGCGGGTCCCGGCTCCTCCGCTGCGGCTGCTGCAGGATCTTCGAGCTTCTCTCCCCGCTCCCGCCTCTCCCCGCTTTGCCGCGACCCGCGAGGGGCCCGGCGCGTAGCTTCCAGGGTCTCCCAGTGCCCCGCCGGGCTTTCGAGGAACCCAGGGGCGGGTCCGGGTCGCGGCGCTGAGGCGAGGCGGGGCGGGGGTGGGGGCGCGGGAACGTGCCGGGTTCCGGGAAGGAACAGGGCGGGAGCGACCAGGGCCGGACCCTGGGGCAGCATCCTCCGGGACAGCCGTCAGCGCCCCCCCCCGGGACAGCGGGCGGCGGCGCCCACGCGCACACCGGCAGGCACAAAGGCCCGCGCGCCCACGCTCCGCCCTGCGGCTCCCGCCCGCCCCGCCGCCCAGGCTGCAAGCACACACTCCACCTGCACGCCCGGACCCCCCGGGGCCGTGCGCGCCGGGCCGAGGCACCCGAGGTCCACGCGCACGTGTGCACACGCTCCCGTCCACACACCCAAGCCGCCGGGCCACCGCGCAGCGCCCGACACCCAAGACACACTGCACACCCGCCGTTGGCTCCCACCGCCTCCCGAGTCTTCAACGCTGACGCCCGGGAGCCTGCGGGCGGCGGGACGCGCTGCCGCAAGACTCCCGGAGGCGCCCACGCGAGGGAGGTGCGCACCCCGCCCGGCCGGTCGCCCCTCGTGCACCCCTCCCTGCCGGGGAGTCCCGCCCGCGCTCCGCACTACCTCCCGCGTCAGCCCCGCACTCACTGTCGGCCCCGCTGCGGCTGCGGCTGCGGCTGCGGCTGCGGCCCGAGCTCCCGCGCGGCCTCGCGGGTGCCGGCTGGGCCGCGGAGGCGGCGGCGGCAGCAGGGGCGGAGCGGGCGGCCGCCGGGGCTGGGACCCCCCTTCCGCTGCCAGAAACCCCCTCCTTCCAAGCTTAACCCCTCCAGCGCCGCGCCTCCCTCCGTGCCGCGCCCTTGCCGCCGGCGCCGTGCCCCGCAGCCCCTTACCTGCGGCCGCCCAGCCCCCCAATTCCAGCGGGTCTCGGCAGGTGAGCGGCAGAGGAACCCGAGACGGGTCGCCGCTGGGTCCGGCCTGGAGTCTCAGACTGCAGTCCTGGTATTGTCCCGCCGGCCATCCAGTGTGGCCCGCGGCACGGCCCCGGCCTGGACATCTGCCGGCTCACCTCTCCGGACAGGCGCCACGCTAATCTCCCAGCATCTCCCAGGCCCACTACGGATCGCAAGGGCCCTCAACTCCCCGCCCCTGGGGAGACCCTGGCCCATGGGCTCAGCACTCCTGAGGGAGGCGGCCTGCGGGACAAAGGGTTAGGGATCCACTGAAACAATCTGGAATTGGCCGAGGTAGGGCTGGGGCTCAGTTCTGGAAAGTCATGCCGGGGGCACCTCCTACCCCTACTCCCGAGCCATCCCTTGGTCCTCACCTCCGTGCCCCTCGCAGCATGGAACCATCCCTCCCCCCACAGCCTGAACAGCCAGGGCCCAGGCAGGTCTTGGAACTGCTCCGCTCTGTGTTCCCACCCACTTCTTGAAACCCTGAGCTCTCCTAAAATCCTCCGGCTTGGGGTCTTCAGCCCCCACGGTGGGTGGCGTTAAGCCTGGGCTCTAAGGCTGACCACCCCCTACCAGCAGAGGGCGCAGATGCGGTTAGCAAGCTCCCCAGAGCCTCCCTGTCCCTACTTACAGAAAAGGCGTAATTAATTCTCGCCTCAGAGTGCTGTTCTGAGCATTAAGGAGGTCACTATTTGTAAATGCTCAAAACAGAGGCTGGAACACACAATAAAGTGTCCTACAAATATTAGCAGTCTTCCTTTCAACAGAGAGTGACTGTTCAGCTTCAAGCTGATCGTGTCAGATGCCCAGTCTGGAAGCCCTGAAGTCCCGGTGCCCAGGAGCATCCCAAGCAGAGAGTTTCAAGACAGGATCTGTGCTGGGCCCAGAACTCCCATGAGCTGTGATGATCAGGCCCTCTGATAGGACAGGAGAGAGACCCTCTGATAAATGACTCCCAGCCACAGGACAGAGGTCAGCTCTGCCAACGCCATGGCAGCAGAAAGCAGTGACTGTGGTATTAGGGGGAGCCAGAGAAGGGGCCCTCGGGGCCACCACGCAGACACTGTGGGGGCAGCCCAACTCTCCGGCCAAATCCACACCTGGTGGGCAGGTGGGGGCTTCTCAGTCCCAGGCCAACTCCTCCATGGCCCTGGACCAATTCCTGGCCCAGAATGTCAGGTTAGGAGGATGACAGGGAAACAGGGTTTCCAGAAATCCCAACCCGGCAAGGGGAACAGGCCTAAGAGACCCATAATCACAGTGCCACTGGACCCTGGAGTAGGGACATGGCTCCCTGACCTGGAGACGAAAGGCTTCATAAAGGAAGTGACATCTGAAGCAGGTTTTGAGGCGAGAGTAGACATTTTTCAAGAGAAGAGGTCACTGGAGTGGGGACAGACTCTTCTGGCCTCCTTTCCTCTCTGACTGCAGGCTCTTCCCTCTCCCTGCCCACCAGCCTAGGTCAGGTAAGTGCCCCCCACCCAGCCATACCCTGGGAGGGCCTGGGTCTGACCAGCCTTCAGCTGTACAGGCCGCCGTGAGAAGAACACAAAGGCGACAATAGACAAGACAGCGAACGGACAAGGGGCACGGACACTGTTTATTGAGTGACAGGTGCAGGAGAGGTAGGTGGCTCCAGTGCAGAAGTGGAGATGGCAGGTCATGCCAAGGTGCTGTGGGCATCTGGCAGCCAGGCCATGCCCCCCCATCCTAGGGGACAGCACAAGCTCACTATGACAGGAGTAGCAAGGAGCCGGCCAGGGGCAGAGGCGGCCACAGCCTCTCATGATCCTGGGCAAGAAGCGGCAGATGAACTTGGCACAGGGACCTGGGATGGGAGGACTAGGGTCTGGGGGTTCTAGCGGGGAGAGTGGGAGGGGATCACGTCTGTGGGGTGGAGTAGAGACTGTGGTGGTGGCCACCTGGTCCCAGCACCTGGGAGAAGAGCAGAGGAGTGGTCCGTGTCTGGCTGCCTCCGCACCAGCCCGGCTCCCGCCCGATGGCGCCATACCAGCTGCCGGAGCCCAGGCTGCCCGACATGCTGCAGGCAGAGAAACAAGGATCAGTCCCAAGGCAGGGACCGGGGCCACAATCACAAGATATGGCGGAGGGAGAGAGGCTTATTAGCACAAGGCCCAGGGCCTCCACCTTTCCAGCACCTAGGGCCTGAACCGTCTAGACTATGGCAAACTGCAACTTGGGGTGGGAAGCAGAAGAGACCTCACCCAGTACAGACAGGAAGCAGGGGCGGGGCAGGGGTGGGGCGAGGGGAGAAAGTGGCAGGACTAGGCTCTAGGTCCCCATGGCTCAATGGAGGGAGCTGGGAGGACCTGAGGCAGGGCCAGGGCTCCTACCTGGTGCTCTCACTACGGCCGTGCTCCCAGGAGCAGCCCTCGTCCTCACAGTGCCCGGCCCGGTCAAAGAAGTAGGAACGGGAGCCAAAGACCTGCCCGTTGAGGATGCGGCTGGTGCTCTGGGGGAGGAAACCAGCATCGTGCTTTCTCCTGCCCCACCACTGGCTTCCCACGGCCCTGCCAGAACCTGGCCCAGGGATTCCGGGCAACCACCCCTCTCTGCTGGCCCTCACCAGGTCCTGCGGGGGCCGGTGCACCCGGAAGAAGCCCACCAACAGGGTGGTGGGCAGCAGCTCCCACACAAAGAGGATGAGGCCAAACACCAGGTAGCCTTTGTTCCCCAGGTCATTCACCAGGTCCGCCTGTGGGAAGACAGGAGTTTGTATCAATCCACAACTGTGCCGGGGCGGGGGGCACGACCCAGACAGAGTCGAGGCCAACTGGGGGCCAAGAGCCATGGCCACTAGGGAGGCAGCTGCCGTGCTGAATGCCCACCTGGTCAGAGACGTTGTACCAGTCATAATCAAAGGCATCCAGCCGGCTCCGGGGGGCCAAGGCCAAGGCCGCCAGGTTGTAGCAGGCCCGGCTGGCGTAGAGCAGGACCATGGCACCACCCATCGCAGCTGCCTGGCACACACTGGTCCCCTGGCACAGATGACAAAAGAGGACCCTCAGGGAGGGGAAGCTCCAGCTCCCTCTCTACCCAGACGATCACTGCCCAAAGGCCCCAAGGGACACCCAGGGATCAGGGCTTGTGGCCCTACCTTGGCCTCCAGGTAGATGCTGGTGGAAGGTGCCCGCCGGGCGACAAGGCAGAGGCAGGCGGCAAGAGAGAGTGCGCAGATAACAAAGAGGGAGTCGCTCACCAGGACTCGCACCAGCAGGAGGGCCCAGGGCTGTGCCCGGCGCCGGCGGGACAGCACAGCGCACAGCACGTTCACCAGCAGAAAGAGCAGCGAGGCCCCCACGAAGGCCCCTCGGACAGCCAGCCTGCAGCCCACAGCACGGTCAGCCCCAGGAAACCATCGCTGGCACCCATTGAACACCCCCCCTCCAAACTCCCTTAGGGTCAATCAGAATCAATCCAGACCAACCAATCTGAACCCTGGCTCTCCAGTTTCACAGATGGGGAAACCGAGGCCCACAGAGGTCACACAGTGACGGACAGCTATGGTAGAGCAGAAGGAGCACAAGACTGAGAGTCAGAGACGTGGGGTCAGGGGCGCTTGGGTGGTTCAGTCAGTTGAGGCTGAGTGTTTGCCTTTGGTTGCGGTTGTGATCCCAGGCTCCCTGCTCAGCGGGGAGTCTGCTCCTCCCTCTCTCTCTACCCTTCTCCCCACTTGTGCACTCTTTCTCTCGATAATAAATAAATAAAATCTTTAAAAAAGAAAAAAAAAAAGGAAAGGAAAGAAAAGAAAGAAACCTATGTTTAAGCCCTGGCTCTGGCTTCCACCAGATCTATGACCTTGAACAGGTGGCTTTACCTTGCCGGGCCTCAGTTTCTTCATCTCTCGGATGGGGATAATAACAGCCTCCGAGGTAAGTTGTAATAGTGTTTGTGAAAGCTCTTAATAAACCGTAAGACGTTATACAAACGACAAGCTTATCACCGCCCAAGGTCAGCCGCAAATGCGGTCTGGGGCTTCTGAGGGCTGGAGCCTCAGCTCTTCTTTCATCAGGGATGACGCTGGGACCCTATCCCTTCACACTAGCATGGCTGTTTCCATCAACACTGCCCTTCACAGGTGCAATGCCTTTGCTGAGCTGTCTGTACCATGTGCCTAACTTTTCATGGCTCTTTCACAAACATCTGCTAAGTTGTCCCCACCTTGGTACTGCACAGGGTCAAGGGGCAAGAAAGAAACAGACACCAGGCTGCTCCCTGCCCCTGGCCTGGGGGATATGCCCATACATCCCGGGTACTTACAAGCCTCGGCTCATCTCCGGCCGGCGCTTCGCCTTGGCCTTGAACACAACCTGGGAGCAGAGATGCCCATCATTCCTTTGGGCCCTTGGGCCTGCCACCCCACAGCCCACCCCCACCCGTTACCATGGTTACCTGGGCAAAGTAGAGGTTCATAAGTGTCAGGGTGAAGAACTGCAGGCAGACAGGGCAGCAGTAGAGAAGCCAAAAGGGCAGGGGTCCCAGACGGTTGGCTCGGGGGGTATCTCGGAAGTAGAAGGAGAAGAGGGTGGTGCGCAAGGCAGCCCAGAGCAGACAGAGTGCCAGGAACACTGTCTGATAGCTCAGACGCTTGTGCCCATAGAGAAGCACCAGCCAGAGCTGGGCATATACCGAGAAGAAGAGCAGGGCATACAAAGTGGTGTAGGCTGCGGTCAGCCCCAGGGTCACGGCGGGAGGCAGCGCAGGAACCAGCCCAGCAGCAGGCACCAGGCCAGACAGGTTACTCTCCATGTCAGGACAGGAGGCCTGAATCCCAGAGAAAGAGATGGAGGGGCTGGCAGGGGGCCAGGGAAATAAATACGGAAGGGTGGGAGTTGCAGGGAGCAGCGACAGAGATGGGGAGCTCAGGAGAAAAGAAACTGCAGCTGGCCAGGCCCTTCCCCCTCAACAGAGAGACCCTGCCCTTGCAGCGGGACACAAGCAGCCCAAGCCCCTTACTCTGTCTGGGGCGTGGAAGGACAGACCCTCTGGAAGGCAGAGGCGGGAAGTGGGCAGGATATCCTCCCTGGGCCAGCCCCAGAGCCAGGATGAGGGGGTGCAGAGTCTGAAGGACAGGGGACCCTGGCCTTGGTCGTTGGAGTCGTCCTGGCTGGAGGGGGAGAGCCGGCAGATATCCTTCGGCTGAAGGCAGCGGCCGCTGCGGGGGACGCTCAACGCCCAGCTCTCCCCCCACCAAACTGGGGGTCTCTCTCCCCTCCAATAATCCGGATTGGGGGTGGCCTCTGCCTTCCTTCCTCGGAATTCCGGACGACGCTGCCCCCCCCCCCCACTGCATCCACTATCCAGCCTCGAGGGCCGGGAGAAGGCCGATTCCGGGTGCTCAGGACGCCGCTGGGGGAGCCGGCTCTGGTCGCTGGGACCCGGGGTTCCGGCTCCCCAGCTCCCCGGCTCCCGCTGCTCCGCCCCCTCCTGCGCCTGCGCCTGCGCGGGCGCCGTTCGCTACGCTAAATGCGGAGGGTCTGGCCCCCACCAGCTCCGCAGGCCCGCGCCGCGCCCGGCGCGGAGCCGTTCGAGAATTGGCGCGAGGTGCGTCGGCGGCGGGCGCCAGGGGTTACTAGAAGCAGCGGGAGGCCAAGACGCTGGGGCGGAACCGCATCCGGCGGGCGCCCAGGTGGGCCGTGCCCGGAGCCACCTGCCCTCGTCTGTTTGGGGGGCCGCCAGTTCCCAGGTTTCTCCTCCCTATCCCCAAATCCAGATTGCGCCGCCCGGCCGGGGGAGCGGCAACAACTCCCCCTCACCCGCTCTCCGAAGGAAACTTCCGCCCACAGCCAAGATGGCCCCCGGGCCCCGCCCCCTGGGTTTAACCCACAGGGCCCCGCAGTCCCGGGGAGGCACGCCCGCCCCACTCCCCGGCGGGCCGCCGTTCCCGCTCACCTGGCCGGCTGCCTGCTCCCGCGAGTCTTACGGCCACCCTCAGCGGGGCCCCCTCTCCTGCGCCGGGGCAGTCATCCTGCCGGGGAGGAGGCTCCCTCGCTTATCTCGAGCTCTCCTGAGCTGGCGCGGAGAGTAGTGCCCCCGAGGCGGGCGGTGCGAGGTTTCCACCGTGGGGAAGAGGGAGCGGGACTTCCCGACCCGGCTACCCAGTCCACACGGAGCAGTGACAACAGCAACGACAATTTCATCCAGATGAAGCAGTGACAACAGCAACAACACCTGCATCGACGGCTGAGCTTCAACTGAAGCCTTTGCAAAGTGCTTTCACCCACAGTAATCACTCGGTTTACAAAGTTGTCTGGCTTCTAAGGGAGGTATCATTATCTTCATTCTACAGGAGTGGAGACTAAGGCCCAGAGGGGCTGAAGGGCTTGTCAGCAGAAGCTGGTCTCCAGGTTCCAAATGGGGACCCAGAGAATCCCTCATCTGCTCCCACGCATGGCTCGGGCACAAGGAAGTCGGGAACTGAGCGGCGGGAGGCGAGACAGGGACCTAGTGGGACGACGGTGGGCAGGGAGCCTGTCCGCCGGCGGGGGCGGAGGCTGGGCCGGGGCGGCCACGCCCCCTGGCCAGCCCTAGTGACATTTCAAGAGCTGATTGGGCCGGGTCGGTGACAGTTCCCGTTGCCCGGGCAACTGGGGCCGGGCTCCCTCGGTACTAGAGGGAGGCGGCAGGCCCGGGTCAGGGGCCTCCTCGAGATCGGGCTTGGGGTAAGACTCGTGTGCCGCCACCGAGGGCAGGTTGGGCCTGGGTCTGAGTAGGGGACTGGGACTGCTTCACAGCACCAGGGCTCCAAAAGAGGAGAGTTCGGTCCTGTTTGGACAGGCTGAACGACCTCCCCGGCTAGGCTCAGTGGACAGATCTGGGCCTGGGAAGCAGGGTGAACATGGGGTTCTAAGGTGGGAGAGAGGGAACTACAGTCATCTGCCCCTCCCTTCACCAGCCACCATTTGCCCCAGCTTGTGCCCTAACTACCTGCCATCTTGCCCCCACAGCCCAGAGCATGTTCCAGATCCCAGAGTTTGAGCCCAGTGAGCAGGAAGACTCCAGCCCTGCAGATAGGGGCCTGGGCCCCAGCCCCACAGGGGATCAACCCCCAGGCCTTGGCAAGCACCTGCAGACGGCCCCAGGCCTCCTAGGGGAAGCTGGTCACCAGCAGGGGCAGCCGGCCAGCAGCAGCCACCATGGAGGTAGGTACCCACCCCCCAACCACCTGCCTGTCCACCTTGCCCCCAGCCCAGTAGCTCCCCACATCCCAGCTGCATCCCCACTAACTGGCTGGCTTCGAGTAAGTGCCTAACCTGTCTGCACCTCAGTTTCCTCTTCTGTAAAACAGAGCAATTAATCACCACCGTTGTAGGGCTGTTGGGATGATACCAGAAATATATAGGAAGCACTTAATTATAGTGCCAGTGCATAGTAAATGCTCAAAGAATGTAGCTGTTAGCCTAGGACCAGCACAGAAATCACCCAGAGACAGGTGCCTGGGTGGCTCAGTCCTGCCTTGGGCTCCGGTCATGATCCCAGGGTCCTGAGATGGAGCCCTGCATCAGGCTCCCTGCTCAGCGGGAAGCCTTCTTTTCCCTCTCCCACTCCCCCTGTTTGTGTTTCCACTCTCACTGTGTCTCTGTCAAGTAACTAATAAAATCTAAAATACAACACTACCTTTACATAACAAGAAAGATAGATGGAGGAGAAGGGGTCTGGACACACTCAGCGAGGGGACCCAGCGCTGAGCCGAAAGAAAGGATGGACAGTGGAGGAATGGCAGCCATTTCTCCCCAGTGCCCACCTCCCCAGTGCCCACCCCCGGTCTTGGCACCTGGAACAACCATAGAGATCTTCTGTAAACAAAACTCCTATCCTTAACGTCATGAAGCCAGAAAGACCACCATCCCCAGGTTCAAGAACAAGAAGGCTTATGAAGTCCTCCTCCCCAGCCCGCGCGCACACACTTTGTCAGACTGAACCCCAAAGACTTTCTTTAACTCCTTTAGCGTCCAGATCTTTGCACTTGGCTGCTCGTAGCTTTCCACCCGGCCTCGGCCTCCGTGGTTCCTCTTCACCTTCAGTATCAAGGGCTTCATTTGTGCCACGTGCTGCCCCAGCCGCCAGGGGGTACATTAGTGAACAAAAGAGATAAAAGTCCTTGCTCTTTGTGGTGCCTCCAGGTTCTAGTTGAGTGGGAAGAGACGGGCCGTCAACAAACAAACAAATGCTGTAGTGCTGTCCTGGCGGTGCCAGAAGCATTCTTTACTTTCTCTCCTGGAGTACCAGAAGGCTGGGGGAGTGACTCTGATGGAGGTGGTCAGGGTCAACCCAGCGTGGTAAGAAGCAAGGTTAGAAGGGGGTGAGAGGTGAGCCCTGCCCATATCCCCAGAAAAACAGATCCTGACTGGAAAAATATCCCAACCTAGGGAAGGGCCAATGCAAAGGCCCTGAAGGCAGGACACAGTCTAGGTCACTGAGGGGAGGAGAGGTCGAGATGCCGCAGGGGAGATGAATGGTGGGAGGAGCATCTGCGCGGGGCTTGGAAGGCCTGTGCCAGGACATTGGCTTTCACTTTGAGTGAAAACGTGGGAGGGCAGGGAGCAGAGGCAGGGCTGTCTGATAATGAGATCAAGAACATCACCAGGGCCTCTGTGTTGGGACTAGTCTGCAATGGGCCAAAGCAGCCCCGTGGGGGTGCTGCAGGGGAGGCTGCTGGGAGAGTCCCAGTGAGGGAGGATGATGACTTGTGCCCGTTGAAGGCAGAGGAAGTGGTACACATTTTATTTTGTAGGTAGAACTGGCAGGATTTGCCAACAAACTGGGTGTGGGGTGTGCAGGAGAGAGAGGAATCAGGGAGGGCCGCAAGGCATCTGGGCTGGGCACCTGGAGGACCTTGCCCTTGACTCTGACGGAACTACAGCCTAATCAGGAGCCTGGTGTGGGCCAAGTGAGGGTAGGGGGGCCTTCTGGGCTGCCGGTTGGAGGTTCCCAGTCGGGATAGGCCCAAGAGGGATTTATACGCCTGGGAGTTGTCAGTCCCAGAGGTAGTGTTCTCTGAGGCCTAGGCAGCCAGTGTAGACAGGTGGTGGCCTGGTCTGAGCCTGGAACCTTGGCCTTCAGAGGGAGGCAGCAGGGAAGAAATTAGTAGCAGGATGGGAGGGAAACCAGGAGCTGGCAGGGCCCACACAGCAAGGGATTGCTTCTGGCTGGAGATCTGGGAGAGGGCCCTTGGAGTCGCCAACACACGCCATCGCAGTTTGGGTGAGGAGATGGGGGGGAAGGCTGACCTCAGTTCAGAAGGGAGGGATAACGGGAAGAGAGGTGGAGACAGGGGAGCCCCCTTTGGGTAGCTGTGCTCCAGGAAAGGCGTGCAGCAAAGACCCAAGGAGGGGTTGGTGTTTTTGTTGCTGTTGTGTTTTTGTTTAAGGGGAAAGAAAATAGCTTGTCTAGAAGCTGAGGGGGGTAATCCAGGAGCCAGGGAACTACCATATGAGGTAGGAGAGAAGGGACGCTAACTAGAGAGATGTCCTCGAGTAGGACACCGGGGTCTGGCACCGGGGGAGGGCTGGCTCAGCTAAATGCGAGACAGTGGACAGGAGTGCGTGGTTGTGAGTAGATAAATAGAAGAAGTTTCTCTCTCCGTCTCTCTCTTTTTAAGATTTTATTTATTTGACAGAGATGTGAGAGAAGGAATACAAGCAGGGGGAGTGGGAGAGGGAGAAGCAGGCTTCCCACTCAGCTGGGGGCCTGATGCGGGGCTCTATCCCAGGACCCTGGGATCAGGACTTGAGCCTCGAAGGCACACGGCTAACAACTGAGTCACTCAGGGGCCCCAGCAGAAGTTTCCCTTGTGGGTGCTGCCAGTTTCTCCAGGAAAGGGTGGGAAGAGAGCGGATCAGTCTTGAAGTGGTCATCCATCCCCAAGCACAGAGTGTGCGAGGTGGGCTGGGCAATGTCAAGGGCACCACATCGCCAGTTTCTTTTTTTTTTTTAATTATAAACTTTTTTTTTTTCCCTAAAGATTTTGCTGTTTATTCGAGAGTGAGTGAGTGAGAGAGAGAACATGAGTGGCCAGGAAGGGCAGAGGGACAGGGAGAAGCAGATTCCCTGCTGAACAAGGAGCCTGAGTGGTACTAGATCCCAGGACCTTGGGATCATGACCTGAGCAGAAGGCAGATGCTTTTTTTTTTTTTTAAGGTTTTATTTATTTATTTATTTTCTTATTTATTTGTCAGAGACAAAGAGAGACACAGCGAGAGAGGGAACACAAGCAGGAGGAGTGGGAGATGGAGAATCAGGCTTCCCGCTGAACAGGGAGCCAGATGTGGGGCTCGATCCCAGGACCCTGGGATTACGACCTGAGATGCTTAACTGACTGAGCCACCCAGGCACCCATGCCATGAATTTCAGTGGAGGCAGCATGGCTATGCTTTTCTTCAGCCTGGGGGGGTCCAAGGGGCCAGCTGGGAGTTAGAGTTTAGCCAGAGCTGTGCCCGACTCAGCCCAGCTGGGGAGGGCTGCTTGAGGGTGTCTGCGCGGAGAGGCAGTGGTCTCGGTGTGGGGTGTAGCCTGGCTCTGGGAGTTCTGGCATCACTAGAGTGGGCTTCCAGGGGAGGGAGCCAGCCAGGTAGAAGCTGCGAGGCTTAGGATGGAGTTCCTGAAGGTTCTCTTCGGGGGAAGGAGGGAGAGGCTGGAAAGCAGAAGGGCCACTTGGGTCCTGGGAGTGAACGAGGTCAGGACTGGAGGAAGCTCCTGCACCAGTGGGTGTGTGGCCTGAGGGCGGGGGCACCTCCCCCAGCTCCAGACCCTTCCATGAGGAGGACAGCAAGGGAGAAAGTAGCCATTGACAGGAGTTCTTAAACTTTCGACTTAGTTTTATTTTTTTAATTTAAATTAAATTCATTAACATATAGTGTATTACAAGTTTCAGAGTTGGAGGTCAGTGACTCATCAGTTGCATATAACAGCGCTCATTCCCTTGCCCAGGTATCCCCTCCCCCCTCCCACCTCTGGACTTAGTTTTCTTTTTTCTTTAAAGATTTTATTTATTTATTTGATAGAGATCACAGGTAGGCAGAGAGGCAGGCAGAGAGAGAGAGGGGGAAGCAGGCTCCCTGCCAAGCAGAGAGCCCGACACTGGGCTTGATCCCAAGACCCTGAGATCATCACCTGAGCCGAAGGCAGAGGCTTTAACCCAATGAGCCACCCAGGCACCCCTGGACTTAAGTTTTCAGTGTCGAAAAAGGAAATGATTTTCCCAGAAAAGATCAGCAAGGTTGGGGGTGGGGGTTGCTCTTTGAGAGCCACAGAGCCCCCGCCCCCTCCAGGCCCGCTGAGTCCTGTCACTCTGCACATTCCCTGACCCCTGGGCGCTGTGGGACTGGATGTGTGCATGTCCCCAGGGCAGAGACTGTGACACCTTTTGTGCTGTGACAGCCCCATCGCATAGCCCAGGGCCCGGGACAGGTAAGTGCACTGGGAGCAGTGGGGAGTGTGTGTGGATGGTGGGGAGGGAGGGAGGATCGCCCAGTGGGGCCAGACCACAGGGTTCAAACACCGCCCCACCCTCCCTTAGTGTGCTGAACTTGAGCAGGCGAGTTAACTGTCTGCCTCAGTTTTCTTATCTGTAAAGTGAGAATAGAAACTCATCTTCCCTTCTTATAGGGGGGATCTGATCAGTTAATATGGGAAACGCGCTGGGGCACCTGGGCGGTTCAGTCGGTTAAGTGTCTGCCTTCGGCTCAGGTCATGATCCTGGAGCTCCAGGATCCAGCCCCCACATCCGGGCTCCCCAGTCAGCAGGGAGTCTGTTTCTCCCTCTACCTCACCCTGCTCGTGTTCTCTCTCACTCTCTCTCTCTCTCAAATAAATAAAATCTTAAAAAGAAAAAGCTTCTCAAAAAAAAAAATAAATAAATAAAGGAAAAGTGCTTAGAAACAGTGCCTGCGGGGCGCCTGGGTGGCTCAGTGGATTAAGCCTCTGCCTTTGGCTCGGGTCGTGATCCCAGGGTCCTAGGATCCAGCCCCACATCGGCTCTCTGCTTAGCTGGGAGGCTCCTTCCCCGTCTCTCTCTGCCTGCCTCTCTGCTTGTGATCTCTCTCTTTCCTCTGTCAAATAAATAAAAAAAAATCTTTATTAAAAAAAAGAAAGAAAAAAGAAACAGTGTGTTCCTCTGGCACAGAGGAAGCTTTGCTGTTCT